ACAAAATTCGGTGAGTTAGTATTGCTAACGAACGATTATCGAAACGACATTGGCCTGTGCATGATAGGGTATTCGAGTGGAAATCGAACAAGGGTTTCGATGACGGCACGAAAAAAATCTAACGATAACCGATAGGTAAATGGCCAGCTTAAAGGACTGCTAACTACACTGCACTGCAGATATACAGGCCTGAGACTGTAGCCACTGGATTGCCTAGGAACTCCCAGGTAGTGCATACCTCCCAACTGTCCCCCATTTGGAAATAAATCCCTCTGCCCTTCTTTCATCCTCAGTTGTCCTTCTTTTTCGTCTGATGTACAGATAGCTATGAAAATATTCTATTTAACTACCATAAGTGTTATTCTGCACTAAAACCTTCACCTTATCTCTTAATTGTCTTGTTTGCTATTTTGAAAAGCCAATATAAAGGAAAAGTAATGTAGAAATGTTTGTGGGTTTAACCAATTTGTAGCATATACATTCTAAATGGTCTGCATAACTGGGGGCATGGGAGGGGTATCCTTTGCCTAAATATGTTGTGCTGGAAGGTGTCCCTCTTTCTCATCTTCGAAAGTTGGGTGGGATGGAAGTGCAATGCCATTTTCAGGAGAATTTAAGACAAAATGTACATTTTTCAGAGTACTTGTATGACACAAATAACATTTCTAAATGTTTCCTATAACCTAGCAAATCTGAACTTTTTCAGGTCCATTTTAACTATGGACTTATTTAAAGTGGAACTGTACCCAGTAAAGACACATCCGATCTATGTTGTACAGTCTCACCTGAGCGTTCAAGCTGATGGCCAGGGATCCACCACCGATGAACATAGGACTAGCAGAGATTTTGTTTGGGTAGCATTATATCACTATGACGTGACCTGCAAGTTCTCCTGAACACTTCCCCAGAACAGCTCCATCACATCCTGTGCACAAAGGGACAGCATGGAGGGTGGAAATGTTTGCACTGAACAACTGTAGCCATTTGAAAGTAATTTTTCGTTTATCATCTTTTTCTATTTTGTAAAATATTTACAAATTTAGATGTACAGAATAGAAAAAGTATGAGTGGTATTGAATATCGAAATACATAATAATTATTTTTTTTAAAAGACCCAACGATAAAATAAATTGTTTTTTTTTCTCACATTGCAATGAATTAGTATAAACCATCTGAAATTTGTATTATGAATTAATTGATAAGAATAGGAAAATTCCTAATATCCAAATACTGTAATGAAACATTTGAAAGTAATTGATATACATAGGGCCTGAACATTTATATACATTGCTACTTCAGGTACCCCACATGTTTTGTTTTTTTTGACAGCTACAGTTCAGCTTTATAGCTCAACTCCGTCCACAATACTCTTAGCAAGTTTAAAGGGTTGCCTTAAAAGCAACTTCTCATCATAAAGGCTTTTTTCCATTCCCGGCTTGTTTCCAGGCCGGGTTTAGTATAGCTCACACTGTGCTTTCAGGCAACTCGAATGTAAGCGCTTGCGGTCTCATAGATCACAGTGGTGTGGTCATGTCTCTGCACCGCTCTCCTCCACCCCATTTTCAAAACGAAGCCTGTGTGTTTTGTGAATGGCCTGGAGGAGATGGGGACAGATGGAAGGAGGCTGCTGGAATAAGGCAAGTATTACACATTATTTATTTACCCTTAGGCCCCGTTCACATTGAGCGGTTCGCAAATCGCGCGATTGTCGCGCGATTTGCATTTTGCGCGATATCGCGTCCGTCCAGTTTTTTCCTCCATTGAAGTGACAGGACCCCATGTTGTTCTACAGTATGTGCCCATTTACATCACATTACCCCAATCCAATATTTAAAAGAAACTCATCGCACACCTGCCCGGATAATACCCTCAAGTATCGGGTTGGTGCCAAGCGACCACGGATGCATCTGCAAATCAGTATAAGTATGAAAAAGTCATTCGCACTCCAGCTCAAGTTCAGTCAATATTTTATTGACCTCTGTGGTGTCACAACATGGCCATGTTGTGACACCACAGAGGTCAATAAAATATTGACTGAACTTGAGCTGGAGTGCCAGTGACTTTTTCATATTTATTACCCCCAATCCGGCACGATCAGGTCCGGAGAAACGGATCTGCCCGTGCAAAAGGGGCCCAAAACTCTCAACATTTTTTTTTTTTTTTAATAATGAATCCAAGTCAAACAAATATATATATTGTTCATCAAAGTATTTCTTAAAATTTCTGCCTGAGCACTTACAATCATCATGTTTCCGAACAGCTCCAACTCTCTCAGCTCAGCTTCCTGAAACCTATTGTTAAGTACAAGATCACAAGGGACAGAGCAGTCTCCAGCAGCTGTCAGTCTACTAGCTTGGAAAAGGGAGAAGGGAGGAAGGAGGAGCAGGGTGGAGAGGATTGTCCGGCCTTGCTGTCGCTGTGTGTTTGTGGATACACACAACTTACTAGCACTCAAGACTGGCTCCATGGGATCCTGCAAGGGAAGGAGCCACCCTAAAACAGGATATCAGGGCCAGTGCTCAGGGGACCAGCTAATTCTGCAGAACACAACGCATCAAGGACCAGCATTCATTGTTAGGTATTTCATAAGCATTTGAAATTGCTTAAAAACCTTGTGACTTTAATATCGCTTTAATGATATTCAATGAGTGTTAGGGCCATACTGCAAGGGTATTTTTCTCTCATCTGTTCTGTGATGACCTGATTGTTAAATTGTTAACATTTCAGCAGTGATTTGTCATAGAGAATAATCTGGGTCTGTGGCATACCGCTTAGTCATAGTGACAGGTTTGCGTTAAAAATTTAAGACAAGCTTGCTTTAAGAATGTAAGAAATTAATTCTTATTGGTTAAGGGAATTTTGCTCTTTGTGCTGCAGTAAAATAATTTGTTCCTAATTGTTGAATACTGCTCATTGCACAAAATGTCTGTCTACCCAGTGAGCAGATAACAGGTGCACTTCAAATGAAATTTACAGAATCTTTTAATTCTAAGGAAAAGCCAAGCAAAGAATTCCCAAAGAGACACGATGTGACACACACAAAGCAGCTCCACTGCAATATTCTTTCTGTAACTATAGTGATTGAATAATGCAGTACAGAAGAACAAGTTACAGGGTTTTTTTTCAAGCTATTCAGACTCAGGAAGACATCACTTGAAAACTTTGAAGTCGATCATCAAAAAAAGACGTCAACAAACTGCTTTTCTGCATTGTGCCTCTTCAATCTAGTATATAAGGTCATTTTATGTATTTTATGTGCAAGTAAAGAGCAACTTCAGGCAACAATTGAAATCAGTTGGTGAACTGGTAATACTTTCCAGGAAACTGTAATGGCGCTTCAGTCAGAAACTCAAACAGCCTTTCATTTGAGTTTTATAAATACAAATGAGCCAGAGTATGGCATTCACCCTACATATGACTCCGGGCTCTCTCTGAAAACGGTGTATTTGAAATTCACATTCCTTTGTCACTGAGGTACATGAGAATCCATAAATCCAGTATACTTTTGTAGTTCCTCCTTCTAAAACATATAAAAATATGAGAATATTAGCATCCCTTGTCTCCCTTTCAATAAGAATGGGGTGCACTGATTGGCCACAAGATGGTGCTGTGCATATAACAAAAGATATGGTCTTCAGCTCCAATAGGAACAATCTTGCAACTAAGGTTCTAGGGATGCTGAAATGTACTCCCTTTCTTCCTTTTCTTAGAGACAGGTCAGCTTTAGGATGATGATCAAAACAGAGAGGAGATTATTGAGCTCACCAAAAAAAAAAAGTGGTCTGTGCTTTCAGTTTTTAAAACCATTCAATGGTTTTGCTTAGCCATTAAAATAATGTAACAATGTATCCTCGGTTTATCAATGCTTAGCACGCTATCTTTTTAGCACTCTTCCTCCTTGGTGTGTTATAATTATAGGGAATCTTTTTGCCAATTCAGGGCAAAGTTACAAGTTTTGTTTACAAGGCACCCAACCCTGCCCACTGATGCTTACCCTCCCTGCGCTCCACTGCCATTCCGTTCATCTGTCTGAGCCTGTGGAACTACCTTGTACTTTTGGGTGTAGTGGAGCATGTGACCTTTTTCCCTTCCTCTCCGGATGCAAACACTGTCATGTGGGGGAGCGGAGATGGTGTTTAACGCTATGTAAGCTCTAACACAGACCTACAGATGGATTAAACTCCCAAAGGCAAACAGTTTGGAAGGGGAGCTTTACCTGTTCAAAATCATCCACTCACATTCAGTAGCTCTCCAAGAAGTAGGATGCCGCTGTATTAGGGGGCACCACACACTTGTGGCCAGCGAGGCATGCACATGTGGGATCACAGCAGAAGGGTTCCTAGCTGTAAATCTATGCATTTCAGAAAACAAGTGCTTCCCTTCCTCAGGACAGGCTTCCTTTAAATACATTTGCAGCAGTATCTAAATGGTTAGCACTCCTGCCTTGCAGCAAGGGGGTTATTGGTTGAGATCTAAACTTGGACACTGTCTACATAGTTTGCGTGTTCGCTATGTGCTTGCATGGTTTATACTGCTACATGGCCATTATTGGTCAATGTCATTGACCAAATATGGCCATGTGTCTATATAAGGTCAATTATGTCACCAGCATCCCTTCACTTTATTTACGTGCAGCTGCAGGGCAGGGAATGCTTCGGCCACAGCTGATTGGGCATGCAGTGATGGTTTCTTTCTGGGTTTGGATGAGCTCAGGTTTAGTCTAAACCCGAGCTCATCCCTAGCTAGAACATGTGCATATAGCACCCCTGATTGCCTCCTTGTGATGCCCTCCTCTCTACCAGCCTGGGTTCTACTGTACTAAGGAATGCACAGGACTGACACTAAATCAAATTTGTTTGGAATCAATGAAAAATACACTCAATAATTTTTTTAATAATTACATATCTGCATTCATTCTTTTTTTTGTATATCTGTTTGGATTTCAGCTTTACGATGTGGTGTACTCCTTGATGACCTAATTTCTTTTCTATGTTTTGTAGGGCTCAGCAGATTCTTACACAAGCAGACCATCAGATTCTGATGTATCTCTGGAAGAGGACAGAGAAGCAATACGCCAAGAGAGAGAACAGCAAGCCGCAGTACAACTTGAGAGAGCCAAAGTAATGCATGATAAATTCCACTAGCACTATTTCTATTTAGAATGGGTACTGGGCAGCACAGTGGCTCAGTATTTAGCACTGTTACCTTGTAGCACTGGGGTCTTTGGCTTGAATCTTAGCCAGGCCACTATCTGCATGGAGTCTACATGTTTTCCCTTGTGTGGATTTCCTCTTACATTCCATAGACATGCTGGTAGTATAATTGGCTCCTGTCTAAATTGGCCCTAATATAGTATGCAGGTCCAGATCTAAAAATCCCAACTACAGCCTCCTTGGCAGACCCTAATAACACTTGGCCAAGCTGCTAATGCAACTCTGATACTCATTTTAAACATTGATCAACTCACACAGTAAGGTTTCAAGGTTTGAAGTGCACAGAAGATGCTGTCATGGTAGTCTGATAGATGGGGACGGCCACAGAACATATACCTATAGAACCTATAGAAAGACTGCTTCCACTTCTGTCAAAACAAATTTACATTCATGTGGTCCCCTTAATGCTAATCCTATCCACCCATTCAGGAATCTGATGCTCCACCCATGTGTGTGAGCACTCTTCCTCCTCAATGTGTTTATAATTATAGGGAATCTATCTTAAGCAATTTAGGGCAAATTGAGAGGCTCTCTTGATATGGTACCCAACCCTGCTTACTGATGCTTATTCTCCCTCCACTCTCTCCTGCAGTTCATCTGTCATTACCCTTGGTACTACCTGGTACTTTGGGGTATAGAGGAGCATGTGACCTTCTGCCCTTCCTCCCAAGATTCAAATACTATTATGTTTTGGGAAGGGAGAAGGTAATTAACGCTGTGTAAGCTCTGACATAGAGTGACATGATCCTTACACAGGGATTAGACACCTGCAGACAAATGGTATGGTGGTAAGTTAAGTGTCAGCGAATGGGGGAGGACCTATTTAGGGCTGTCTCTACTTTATTAGCCACCTGAGGCAACCAGGAGAAGCCAAGCTGTCAGCCGTACGGGAGTGGGTGGTTGGCCGAGCTGTCAGCATGTGTGTGGGGGGTCTCTCTGCTGTTAAACTCTCATAAGGTAACTAGGTCACATATGCAATGTTTTATTGGATAGACTTTCATTAGGTTGCTGATAGAGAGATGAAAACAGGGATAGAAAGCACTGTATTGGACGCTGAATAAAGGAAAGGGGTCACTGCACAGCAATGCACTGCAACGTTAAAACAACCAGCCAAAATACAGGGACCAAAGTAGTATCCTGCGTGTATGAAGAATACCTCACTTTCATGTTTCAGATCTATGCTCCTTCATCAGAGTGAAGGAATACACTGGTGCTTTAAGGTGGAAGTAAAGTTGAAAAATAACAAATTGTAGGAGGTAGGGCATTTTGGTAGAAGAGAAATGTCTCTTCTGCCCAAAAAAAGTTCTTCCTCTTTCCCCTAACGATTTTTTACATTTTTTCTCTACACTGTATGGTGCTTATGCTGTACACTATACACTCTCAGCTCATTGATGACATTTCTATAATGCCAAGAATGGGCCTGATGCTGGGGAGTATGTAAGTCTATGTGCGGGAATTTACATCATCTTTGGCCACCCCATGGGCAAATAGTATTCCCATGGAATCCGAAAGTGGTGGCAGCAGAGATGGTGGTGGCAGGGGACCAAGTGGGGTACAGAGGATTCAATGCACAGCGCCAGAAAAGGGCATACTTGTAAGGTATGTGTTCTATAATACAAAAGTTTACTATGGCAAAATCCACCCAGCACACAGCGGTTTACTACCAGTGTAAATACAGTAGTCCCTATTTCTGGCTCTTTTTTGGGTTGCAGTGACCCCTTTCCTTTATTCAGCATCTGCTTCAGTGGTTTCCATCCCTGCTTTCATCTCTTCTCCTGCCTCAGTAGCCTAGTGAGAGTGCGTGCAGCAACTACAGATGTGACCTGGTTATCTTGGGAGAGGTTTTCACTATACCGTATGCCTTGATCAGGACAACACGGTGTAAGTGCCATTTTATTACACCATTTATTAAAAGGTGTTTTAACTGTGCAATTTGGTGCCCCCTGTTTTATCCTCTGCTTTTATCAATTATATGGCCTTTGGTTTTATACGGAGCTTGCAAGGATAAAGCGGTTTTGTCTAGGTACCAGTGAAGTCAGGTACATTTAATAATTTTCAACAGGTGAACTCAAGCAAGCTGTCTTTTCTTTTGCAGAAGTAGAAAGTGGTGTCGTTTTTAAGGTGCATGATAACATAAAAACCTACATGGTGCAAGACTTGGCGCCTCTAGGGTGAAATCACATAGGCGGTGAGGGCGCCCATGTGACGCTTCCTGATGGAGCTATGCGCTGCATGCACGCAGTGGGGTTGATGTAGCAAAAGCAAATAGGCTGTTCACTCTGCAAGTGAATTTGCACTTTGCAGGGGAAGTTTCCCCTTAGCTTAGTGAATGAGGTGAAGCTCCACCGACTTGCTGCAATCATGTGCAAGCAAAAATATTGTTTTTGTCAGACTCTGAACCACCCTGGACACAGACGGTGTGCATCCAAGGATGGCATTTTTGGCTGCACACAAAACGGCCTCCACTGATCGGTCATTTTTTATGCAGCCATAGCACAGCTGCGTCCAGCAATCTCTGAATGCAGCAAACTATCCGCCCTCATATACCTGTCTGAATGACACCTTATCATTGTTTATTAGCCGATTCAGGAGGATTAAATAAATATGTTCTCTATTATGCTACTGTAATAATGATTTATTCTTATATGTAAATGTAGTGATTACATGGGTTGATCTATAAGTGTGGTGCTGCTCTGTATTCATGATGGCTGTATGTGTCCTCAGACCAAGCCGGTGGCATTTGCTGTAAAGACGAATGTGAGCTACTGCGGCGCTCTGGACGAAGATGTCCCCGTACCAGGCACTGCCATCTCCTTTGATGCCAAGGACTTTTTACACATTAAAGAGGTAAATCTGGGATGGATTTCTCTTGCCACCTGTCACTAGCTAATAAAACATCAGCGGTCAGACCACAGCTTGTTTAGGCTAAAAGGAAAACTGACCAGCTGCCAGGGATTGCAAGACAGGATGATTAACCTCTTCAACATAAAAGACCTTTGCCAGCTGTATTTCTGATATAGCCCTCATCTGCCGCAGAGCCATAAAAAATGAATTTAATGCAGCTGGAAAACAGATGTCAATAATGTACTTTTTTCTTCCTAGATGATTCCTGCTTTACACAGTGCTTGCTAGCCACCCAGATGTAGATAAGACAACTGTTATGACAGTGAACAAGTGTGCATTAGAAGCTTGTTATAGCTAAACTCCAGGCAAACAGCCTAATATACAAATACAATGCATATAAGGGAGCTGGTCTACCTGCCAAAGGATTTGCATTTATGTCCACCCAGTCCTGAGATTTTGGATATGCTGGCAGTGCCCATTCCT